GATTTGCAAGGATCTTGTTGAGGATTTTTGCATCCGTATTCATCAAGGATATTGGCCTGTAGTTCTCTTTTTTTTGCTGGGTCTCCATCTGGCTTGGGAATCAGAGTGATGCTGGCTTCATAAAAAGAGTCCAGAAGGTTTCCTTCCATTTCTGGTTTTTGGAATAGCTTGAGAAGAATGGGTATTAATTCTGCTTTAAATGTCTAGTAGAATTCACCAGGGAAGCCATCTGGCCCTGGTCTCTTATTTGTTGGGAGATTTTTGATAACTGATTCGATTTACTCACTAGTTATGGGTCTGTTCAGATTTCCTATCTTTTCCAGTGTGAATTTAGGTAGTAAGTGTGTATTTAGGAATTTGTCTATTTCTTCTAGTTATCCAATTTGTTGGCATATAATTTTTCATAGTATTCCCTGACAATTGCTTGTATTTCTGAGGGGTTGGTTGTAATAAGTCCATTTTCATTCATGATTTTGTCTATTTGACTCTCTCTTTTCTTTTTGAGAAGCCTGGCTAGAGGTTCATCAATTTTGTTTAATTTTTAAAAAAACCAACTCTTGGTTTCATTGATCTGTTCAACTGTTTCTTTGGTTTCTATATTTCTGCCCTGATTTATATTATTTCTCTTCTCCTACTTGCTTTGGGGTGCTCTTGTTGTTTTCCCTCTAGTTCCTTTAGGTGCGCTGTTAGGTTTTGCACTTGTGTGTTTCCTAATTTCTTGAAATGAGCCTGGACTGCAATGTACTTTCCTCTTAGGTCTGCCTTTGCCACATCCCATAGAGTTTGGATTGTTGTATTTTCATTTTCATTTTTTCCATCTATTTTTTAATTTCTTCTCTAATTGCCTGACTGGCCCATTCCTTCTTTAGTAGGGTGTTCTTTAACCTCTATGTTCTGGAGGTTTTCCAGACTTCTTCCTGTGATTGATTTCAAGTTTCATAGCATTGAAATCTGAAAGTGTGCATGGTATGATCTCAATTCTTTTATATTTATTGAGGGCTGCTTTATATCCTAGTATGTTATCTATCATGGAGAATGTGCCATGCGCACTTGAGAAGAAAGTGAATTCCATGGCCTCAGGATGTAAAGTTCTAAATATATCCGTCAGATCCATCTGGTCCAGTGTGTCATTCAAGTCCATTGTTTCTTTGGTGATTTTCTGTCTAGTTGATCTATCCATTGCTGTAAGTGGAGTATTAAAGTCCCCTGCTATTAGCACATTCTTATGCATAAGGTTGTTTCTGTTTGTTTTATATATTTAGGTGCTACCATATTTGGTGCATAGATATTTATAATTGTTAGCTCTTCCTGATGGATAGACTCTGTAATTATTACATAATGCCCTTCTTAATCCCTTGTTACTGTCTTTAAAGTCCAGCTTGTCTGATATAAGTACAGCTACTCCAGCTTTATTTTGACTTCCAGTAGCATGACAGACATTTCTCCATCCCCTTACTTTCAATCTGAAGGTGTCCTCCAGTCTAAAATGAGTTTCTTATAGACAGCAAATAGATGGATTTTGTTTTTTATCCATTCTGCTACCCTATGTCTTTTGATTGGAGTATTCAGCCCATTTACATTCAGTGTTATTATTGAAATATATGGATTTAGAGTCATTGTGTCCTTTGTGGGATTCATGCTTGTGGTGAGGTCTCTGGTATCTTGCGTTCCTTGCAACATTTCCCTTAGAGAGTCTCCCTCAGGATTTCTTGTAGGGCTGGTTTAGTGGTGATGAATTGTTTCAATTTTTGTTTACTTGGAAAGACTTTTATCTCTCCTTCTATTCCGAATGACAGGCTTGCTGGATAGAGGATTCTTGGCTGCATATTTTTTCTGTTCATCACACTGATGATCTCCTACCATTCCTTTCTAGCCTGCCAAGTTTCAGTAGATAGGTCTGTAAGCACTCTGATAGGTTTCCCTTTGTATGTTAGGGCCCTTTTCTCCCTAGCTGCTTTCAGAATTCTCTCTTTGTCCTTATATTTTGCGAGTTTCACTATGATATGTCATGCAGAAGATTGATTCAAGTTACGTCTGAGGGGTGTTCATTGTACCTCTTGGATTTCAATGTCTGTTTCCTTCCCCAGATTGGGGAAGTTCTCTGCTATAATTTGTTCAAGGACTCCTCAAGTGCCTTCCTCTCTTTTCCTCTTCTGGAATTCCTATGATACGGATATTATTCCATTTGACTGTATCGCTGAGCACTCGAACTCTCCTTTTGTGTTCCTGGATCAGTTTATCTTTTTCTCAGCTTCCCCTTTTTCTAGAATTGTGTCTTCTAAATCACTTAGTCTCTTTTCTGCGTCTTCAATCCGTGCATTGGACACCTCCATTTTATTTTGAATCTCATTTATAGCATTTTTTAATTCATCACAACTATTTTTAAGCTCCATAGTCTTTGTAGCAATAGTTTCTCTGATGTCTTCCATACCTTTTTCAAGCCCAGCGATTAGTTTTATGACTATTGTTCTAAATTCTTGTTCCGTTATTTTGCTTATATCTGTTATGAGCAGTTCTTAACTGTAAATTCTTCCTGGAATTTCTTTGGAGGAGAGTTCTTCCGTTTCATCATTTTGGTTAACTTTCTCTCTCGTTTGTTTTAAAAGCTTGTGATGCACTCTGCACCTGCATCACAAGAAGGCTTTTTGACTGTCCAGGGCCTATCCGTTCAGAAAGTGTTCTTTGAATGGTGTCTCTTAGTCTCTCTTGTTGAGACCTTGGTTATTTTATTTTTCTACTCATAGTGGTATTTGGGACTCTCCACCCTGTGTACTTTCGCTTGTTTCTTGAGGTAGCCCTGGAAAAGAAAACAGACAAACACACAGGGGACAAAGGCACACACGCACAGACAAATCCAACAAACACGCAAACCTAAAGGGAAAAAGAAAAAAAGGAAGGGACACATACAAAAAAAAAAAAAAAAAAAGGGACGACAAATAATAAAAAGAAAAATACATAAAAAAGAAAAAATCCAATAGACAAAGGACAGTCTAAAGCATAGAGCCAGAATTACCAGCTACAAATAAAGAGCTGGGTGTATGCTACGCTGATGGAAGAGCATATACAAAGAGAGAAATGACAGGGCAGGGAGGAAGCAAAATTAGAAATGAAATGAGCAGGCAGAAAGACTAAGAGGCTTAATTCAGAGAGAGAAAGAGGGGAATGTGGTTGGAGAGGAGGCAAAAGAAATGATGATAATGCTACTCAGAGAAACTATATAGCCTGATTACTCCAGAGATAAAGAGATACAAAGGTAGAGGTGGAGGTGTATAATTTACATCTGGAGAATGGATTAAATGTGACTGTTTAAGCAAGCCAGTGACCAGAATTAATGAGGGCAGTGCATCCGTGTTGGTCTTGCCCAGGCTCTGGTTAAAAAAAAGGGGGGTGGGGCAGCTCTCTAGCAGGGATGGGCATAGTTTGGTCCAGTGCTTCCCACGGGGGTCCCACCTTGGTGGTTGTGGGGAGAAAAGTGGCGGCACCCCAGTTCCTTCTCAAACCAAGCACTGCAACTCACTCACTCTTTTGGGTGTGATCTCCCTGTGCCAGGGGCTTAGCCAAGGTGGGCTGTGCTCTACATCCCAAGCCAGGCCTTGTTTCCAGATCTCAGTCCGCACACCCCATTGATATTGCCCAAAATATAAACTCACAGGCAAGTCCCTCAGAGCAATTTCAAGCTCTCACCTTCCCCCTGGGGATGGAGCCAGAAGCCGCTGCTTGAGTCCCCTCCAGGTCGAGCTGGCAAGCGAGGAGCAGTTTCTCCCTGGGTCACCTGGGTCGAGTGCCTGCCTAGGGTCAGCTGGAGAGCAGGAAACCGGATCCCTCTGTGTCCCAAGCAGAGGTTTTTCTCTTCTCCAGTGACAGGGACAGTGTCTTGAGCAGTTTCAGCCACTCTTTCTTTTTTTCCCCCTAGACTCACTGTGGCTCCTCACAAAGGGAGATCCCTCCCCTTCCCTCTGTCTCTGGTCCCGGCCTGATTTTATCTTTCCCAGTTCACACTCACGCTATAAGGTTTTCTCAGTGGACTCTGTCTCCTTTTCCTCCCAAAGTCCTGGATTCTGTAAGGGTTCCTATGACTTCAGGCCTTCTCCATGTGAGATGGGGGCGAATGAAATGTACAGAGCTCCCTAATTCTCCACCATCTTGCCTCCTCTGAGTACCTGTTGGATGTTTAATGGGACTGTAGTTTGATAGCTTAGGTACAAGTTCCTATAGTAGACTTCTCTTTTGTGACATTTAGCTACTCTGAAACTTTGGTTTTCCTCTTCTCTAAAATGGGAATGTGTCCCAGTGACTTTACAGTGCTGCTGTAAGGAATACATGATGTGACATTAAAGTGCCTCAGGAACCAAATGGTTGTTAGTGTTTGTTAGGACAAGCTCATGTGCAAGGCCATGGGCTCTTCTTCCCCTGTGAGTGGACTGAGGACAGGGAGGGCTTCCATGTGATACTTGCTTTCACGGCCGGCTGAATTTCATTTCACCGGATCTGCAGGTGGCAATGGCAATCTTAGCTGTGGCCCTGCTTGGGGATTTGTCTGAAATTTCTCGCCCTGCAATGTGGTATAGCCCAGGAGTGCTCAAACTTTCATGCAGAAGAGTCACGTGGGATTCAAGGGCTTCCAGTCAGGAGGTTCTAATGTAACAGGTCTGAGATGGAGCCAGAAGAATGATTTCTGTGAAGCTCAGCAGGTGATCCTCGACTGCAGGCAGGGACAGGTTAAAGGGGGCCCAGCTCAGGCGCCAGGACAGTTTGGCACTTCTAGCCTCCTGGCATGTGGGGATGGGCAGGCTGTTTGTTCCCCTTGAAGAGGATGATAGCAGGAGTCCCTTCCTTGCTGTGGGCAAGCTAGGAGTGTGTCCAGGAGACAGGTTTGGGCAGGTCCTTGAGCAAAGCCGGGAAGGCGCTGGAGGGATGCGAGCCCTCTGGGAGCAGCAGTCCTTAGGGGGTTGACAGCCTGAGGGCTGTGGGGCTGAGCTTTGCTGTCCTTCTGTCTCCAGATCGTGTTCCGGAAGATCAGTGATGTGAAGCGGGAGGAGGAAGAGCGCATGAAACGCAAGAATGAGGCCCCCCTGATCTTGCCCCCGGATCACCCTGTCCGGCGACTCTTCCAGAGGTTCCGACAGCAGAAGGAGGCCCGGCTGGCAGCGGAGAGGGGCGGTCGCGACCCGGATGACCCGGACGTGGAGAAGGGCAGTGCCATCCCTGAGCACGCGGCCAACCACAGCCTGGTGAAGGCCAGCGTGGTCACCGTGCGCGAGAGCCCCGCCACGCCCGTGGCCTTCCAGGCAGCATCTGCGGCTGCGGTGTCGGACCACGGCCGGCTGCACGCGCCCGGCGCCGAGTGCCTGGGTCCCAGGGCGGCCGGCGGGGACTGCGCCAGGCGCAAAGGCTGGGCCCGCTTCAGGGATGCCTGCGGCAAGGGCGAGGACTGGAGCCAGGTGGCCAAGGCCGAGTCCATGGAGACGCTCCCAGACAGGACCAAGGCGTCCGGAGAGGCCACCCTCAAGAAGACGGACTCCTGTGACAGCGGCATCACCAAGAGCGACCTGCGTCTGGACAACGTCAGCGAGGCCAGGAGCCCCCAGGACCGGAGCCCCATCCTGGCGGAGGTCAAGCATTCTTTCTACCCCATCCCCGAGCAGACGCTGCAGGCCACGGTCCTAGAGGTGAAGCACGAGCTGAAGGAGGACATCAAGGCCTTGAACACCAAAATGACAAATCTTGAGAAACAGCTCTCTGAGATACTCAGGATATTAACTTCCAGAAGATCCTCTCAGTCTCCCCAGGAGCTGTTTGAAATATCGAGGCCCCAGTCCCCAGAATCAGAGAGAGACATTTTCAGAGCAAGCTGAGTGGTCTCTCTGAAATAAAAGTCAAAGACCAAAACCCACCACTCTGCCCTGGACACCACCCCCACCACACACACCTACATGACCAACAACTTCCAAAGTAGGCTTTTCCTGATGGAAAATCAAAGTGGGACGAGTCACTTAGGCACAGGCACTCTCGGTCTCTATCTGGGCGCAGATATGGGAAGAGGCGTGTGCTATACCACCCTGCTAGATTGCAGCTGTTTTCCAACTGTCTGCACAATTTTGGAAGAGGGGGCATGCTGTCTAAAGGGTATTTTCCTTCGTTTTTAATTTTTTTACTGCCATTATATTCATAAAAGATGACAACCCGCCAGAAAAGAGCAGCAGCTGTTTGGGGATTGGTAGGACAGTGCCAGAGAACCCCTCATGTATATACCAGGCTGGGCTCCTTCACCCAGACCCCAAAGACTGCAGTGGGCACGGGGATTTCCCAGCATTCCCTGTCCTTGTACAGCCCATGTCTGTCATCACCTTATATTTGCCCACAGTTGTCATGTGCAACAAGCTCGGGACAAGGGAAGCTTGTGGGCCAGGGAGGGTAGGGCCTTGTGACTTTCTAAGGCTGAAAGCAGTGAGGTTCTCTGAGCGCCTCCTCGGGTCTCCTTTCCCAAGTGTAAGAGCTACAGCGAGGCCTTCAGGAGACAGAGACCCTCTGGGCTGTGGTCGGCAGCCTGCTCGCACAGGAGAGGCCTCAGATGAACCTCTGGCCCTGATCCATACCACTGGCCTCGATGCATGGGCCTCTTTGCTTCTTTTCCTTCTCGGCCTCTTCCCAAACATTCCTGGGGCATTCATTCCTCAGGGTGTGGGGCACCGGCAGGAAGGGTGATGAGCCCAGAGTTGCTTTATTAGCAAAGCAGACACACATACAACCTCAGAAAAATCGATTGTAGCAAGTCCTCTATTTATATTATGATTCTCACTGGGATTGATGGCCCTTAAGAAGTTTGTATTTTGTCCACTGCATGGGGTCATTATGAGCCATGCTTGGCCTTATTTTAAAATTAACCTCTCTTTCTCTTACTGAAGTCAGTAAGACTTCAAGAAAAACCACGAAGACGGCGGGGTTGCGGTCCTACTTGCTTCAGGAGCAGCAGGAGAATGACGTGGCAGGTCCTCAAGCTGTCTGTGTGAGGTGACGGATAGAGATGGCCATGGAACTGTGGGCCCAGAGAAGGTCCGCGCTCAGAGGGACGGTCATGGAGCCACCCGTGGGCCATCCAGGTCCCTATGCCACAATGCTTGGGGATGTTTCATGGCCTCCTAGTCACCTGGAGTCAGATTATTCACGTGTAAGGTTATTCATGTGCTCCTTTCAATGGCATCAGAGAAAGGAAAGAGGGCCCTCCCCGGCAGAGTGGAGCTAACTCAGGGGTTGTGCCCTGCCCTGAAAGTTGGGTTGGAAGTTCAGGTCCAAGAACTAGCTTGGAGAGAGTAGAATTAGGATCTGGACTATTGGTGACATCAGGGACCCCTCCAGGGTGCTTTCTGCACGTATCACACGGCAGCACCCTCACCCCTGGCGCTTGACGTGGCTTAGCTGCACTAACGTGGAACCTGTGTTAATCCCCTCAGTACCAAAGGGGACCTGCGGGCTGGGACTCACACTACCAAAGATAGCATTTTGGAAGGCCTCCTGTCTGGGCCCACCTAGCCTCCCCCACCCCACCCCCCGCCCCTTTGGTCCTGCTTGGTGGCCAGTGCAGGTCCCAGGGCTTGGCCCTCGGTTGTCTGTGCAGAATGGGGCTGTCCTCTGCTGGCTGCCAGCATTGGCACACATGGCCCCGGGGAACAGAGTCCAGGAGGTCAAGGGAAGGGCCCTTCCCCAGGGGTCCCGTACACTTACGCAGCTTCTCATGGGAGGCTTACCGGGGTGGCCGCTGGCTTCCTGAGCCGCAACAGGTTTAGATTTTAGCCTCAGACGGCAGCATACGAAGAGGAGGAAGTGCAACTTCCCAAGGCCAAGTCTTGACTGTTTGTGACTCCAGATAAAGCACTGAGACTTTCAGTCTCTTTGAGAAGCTGCCAACTAGCCCAGAAGCTATAGAATATCTGGAATCACATCTGCCCCCAGAATGTTCTAGTTTGCCATCCCCTAAAAATGTGCTCATTAGCCTGCTTCTCAAGTTTAGGACCCACTACTTGTAAGTCAGGGCCCTTGCCCTGGATGACTCTCATCCGGCTTCAGAAGCATGAGGCCAGCTGTGTGGGTGTGGTGACAGGCTCCTGTCCGACACCCTGCAGGCCATTGGAGAGGGGCCCTTCTCTCCCCCACCAGCTCTGCCTGAGGGGCCAGGTGTTTAAGAAATGACTCCCCATCTGGGTCTAAGGGGCAAAGAGGATGATTTGCCAAGCTTGGAAGCCAGACTGGTTTTGGGGGGAAAATAAAGCTTTGTGAATGTACTCCTGGACTGACTCCTAGGATGGGAACTGGGCTAATGACCAGAAAAGCCTGGGAATGTGCTCATCTCAGGGCCACAGGGCCCACATTTGTGCCCTGTACATGCTTTTGTCTTCTCCACTTAAGGATTTTAAGGACTTTTGCTTTGTTCCCTCTGAAAAAAAATTTTTTTTAATGAGCCAAACCTTCTCTCTCTCCACGTTTATGACATGCACTTGGCCGTGGACTGCTTCGTGCCAACTACCTATTCTTCCCTGGACGCTGCTCTGGCTTCCTAAGCAAGGACCACAAGCTTCAGATACTGACTGAACCTTCCACTATCTGGTGGCTGAAGAGAGGTTAGGGAAACACAGAATTACTAGGTGTTGGACTGAACATTTAGACTTTAAAAGTTATGTTGGAGTATTTACCTGGGTTTGTTTTTTTTTACCTTTTTGAGGGAAGGAGACATAATGTATCACACCATTGCCCAGTACTTGCCGGTTACTTGATCTCGTACTTAAACTCCTTACCTCGGATGTTATTCGTAGGGTGGCTGCCTCCACTTCCCAGAGTGTCAGGCTCTTTGGAGCCAGAGGTTTTGCCTCAGCACTTGGCTGCTTGTTGACCTTGTTCTCCCCCACCGATGGAGGAGTGGGAGTGAGGGATGAGTCTATGAAATAAGATGGTCAGCGAGACGGAGTGCTTGTTCTCGGTAGAGGATGGGACCCCGGCACGGAGTGCTGCTGTCCAGGGCACCTGCAAGGGCTCTTCCAGCGAGGAAGCCAGGGATCCCCCAGGAAGGAGAGGGAGGCAGCCCTCTGGTTGAGAAGCTCTGGTCTGGTGCACAGTTTTGATATCTGTACCTCCATCCATCCCATTTTCTCATGCTTAGACCTCCTGGCTTGGTTCTAAGACCATTCTTCATATTCTCAACCTCAGGGTCCATCTGTGTGCAGAAAGTTTGTAGTCAGTAGCAGGTAACCAGTGGGTTTAAAAAAAAAAAAAAATCTAATGCTACGACAGCATGGGCCCAAGGGTTTCAAAGCTGTTCCCGTTTCTTGTTATCCAATTCTTGGGCCTGTTTTACCCTCCACCCTCTAGACCCTGTGTGCTGTTGCTGGCTGAACATCAGGCCCTTTTCTGAAAGGAATCTTCTTTCAGAAGTGGAGCTAGCATGGCTCAGAGTAAAAACACACTCCACCGCCGTACCCAGCAAGCTTCCTCTCCGAATCCTTCGGTGGAAGGTGAAATAAGCCAGGTGTCAGGATTTTTGCTGGAGCCTTTGGAGGGGCTAAAATAATGCCTTAGGAGCAGTCAGTGTGGGGAAGAGCCTCATCTCCACTTGCTGCACACACGCTTTCTGGAAAACTGCAGGAGTCCTGGTGGAGACACACGTTGCTGATGTGCGTTTGAGGTGTAGACTGTACAATGTTTTGCAATAAAGATGTTTAGCCTTAAGACCCTTGACTGGAACTCCAGCTGTGATGGAGCTGCCGACACCCACCTCCTCCTTCCTCCTGTCATGTTGCTTTAAGAGGAACCCACTGAGGGCACGCTCAGACCCCGGGGTAGCCTCTCCTCTGTCACTAAATCCTTGTACTGCCTTCTCGCTCGCTTCAATACAAATACCTTCACCAGCTCTTCTGCCCTACAGCTGGGGGATTTCTCGGTCTCCTCAGCACCAACTGCATTTTCTGACCCAAGGTATTCGTGTTGAGAAGTGTCGGTTCCCATTTCCTCTGATACACAGCTCAAAAGAATCAATGTGAATGTGCAGCTTAAATCAGTTTCAAGTGAAACTTCATTCTCACACGAGCAAATCAGACTTCTTCTGGAACCTCTAGAAGCGGACTCGAAGCCCGGCACGTGCCGGGCTCGGTGGGTGCCCTCTCCGACCCACCATTAGACTTTTCTTAGAGCCACTGTCTCTTTATCTGTGACTTCAGAGTCGGTCAACAGATCCAGGAGTTGTTTAAAGAGAAGTTCATGGGTCTTGTATCAGGCTATGAACAATGAGAAAGATCTTAAGATGCACCCCGCCCCAATGAATGTATTCTCTTAAAATTCAGACATTGTATTTGTGCATCGGTTGGAGACTGCCCACATCTGACGTTTCGCCAATGCCATAAGGACACTTCTACTCCTGAGCAGTTCGTCAGTCTGGGGCTTCTCCTTATATTGACACTATTTCCATTGAGTCCCACCAAATTCTTCACTGGGTTTTTCTTTTTCCTTCACATCTCCCTCTTTGTCCGAATGAGCGTGAATAGAGAGAAGCGCGAATGAGCGGAGACTATTTTTATGGTCAGTGAGGATGCTGCCAGAAACTCCACTGTATGTGTGCAGCCTGGGAATGTGAAGAGGAACACGTAGGCCCCTCCATGGATGATATTCCTTCTCCAACATTTTTAAACAAGCACAAATGATATTTGTAAAAAAAAAAAAAAAAAAAAAAAATTTTATTTATTATGGTAATAAACTATTTTATACATGATACTTGCTTTTGCTTTTTCTTCTATAATTTTAAGGCACTGAATTGGGTGTTCTAAGATGCCAGAACAAGGATGGTACTTTCTCTTCCTTTTCAAGAGCCTGGGAGGCTCTAATTTGGATAGTGCCTCTAAGTGGTTTGGGAGAACTCAAAATTCTAGAGGCACCAGGGCTGTGTGTCTAAGTACAGCACAGCGAGAGAGTAGTCATGAGGTGCTTTGCCATATGATCTAGAAACAGAGCTGTATCTGCTGTACAAGTGTACAGAGATGCCTTCAAAACTTGGAATCACTGGAAAGCTGTGGTACGACACATTGATTTAATGCTTATCTGAAGGTGGCTTCCCAAGAAGAAGTAAACTTTTAAAATATATTGTAAATATATTTTACAATATATTTAAAATATATTGTAAAAAACATAATCTTTTTGGAATGCTTCCATATCAACAGTGGGAATTATGATCTGTGCTTTAATTCATTGATGGTCTCAGAAGCTAGTAAGGTGGCGGACTGCTTGCCCCTAAACCGACTAGTCCTCTCTACCAGCACTCAGTTCCATTATGGATTTAATAGGTGTTACTTCCTGCTCATGGCAAGATTCTTCACAATACTGTCAACCTGAGTTCTTATTTAGTACCACTGGATTACATTCCAAAAAGGGCACTTTTCTTTTTGTAGACACCAGAATTTAATTCAGGATGAGGAATCTGTGATCTGCAAGCCATATTCAGGCCTCTGCTTGATCTCATAGGGCCACAGTGAATACAGTATTTTTAAGGACGTCCTCCCTACAACCTATTATTTCATTACATTGCAGAAGAGCATAATAAACATTAAAGGTGATAGATTTAAAATTCCGATTTGATATTCATTCAAAAAGCTGACCTAAAAAAAAAAGAAGTCTCACCTAATAAAGCACTGAACATTATGCTCTTTATATATCCTCAATTGTGAAAATAATCTTTTTGTGAATATGATTTTAATAATTTTTGACACAAAAGGGCTAGTAATACAGAGCTAAGTAATAGATACTACATTCTGGGTGCCCCAGGAGTTTCAACTATTTTAAAAGGGGGATTTTTTTGGTTTTATTTTAAAGTTTACTCACTTATTTTTGAGAGGGCACGAGAGAGAGAGAGAGAGAGAGAGAGAGAGAGAGAATATCCCAAGCAGGTTCCACACTGTCAGCCCAGAGCCTGATACACTGTGAGATCATGACCTGAGCCAAAGTCAAGATGCTTAACCAACTGAGCCACCCAAGCACCCTGTTGGTTTGTTTTAAAATAAAACAGGGCACCTGGGTGGCTTAGTAAGTTAAGCGTCCAACTTCAGCTTAGGTCATGATCTTATGGTTTGTGAGTTCAAGCCCCACATCAGGCTCCACTCTGGCAGTGCAGAACCTCCTTGGGATTCTCTCTCTCTCTGCCCCTCCCCCACTTTCACTCTATCTGTCAAAATATTAAATAAACATAAAATAAAATAAAATGACTTCCCTGAGGAGGGCCTCAGCTTTCTCAATGCCCAGTGAGAAAGGCCAGCACCATCAAGATAGTTTGGCTTCTCAAAAGTTGGTCCTATTGTGTGGATATGTTCTGGTACATTTGTTAGAAAGCAAACTCATTATGCTTAATTTCTTATACTTAGTCAACAATTATATTATTATTTTAAATAAGCAAGTGAGCAGTCTCCATTTTTTTTTTTAAGGGGAACACCTGTCCCACTAAATTACTATCCTCCCAATATATACACATCATTATATAATTGAATAGATGATATATTTTCTTTCCATGCTTGCAGTCTTTAAATAGAACAAAAGGTTTTCTCCTGTCACTTCCAACAAATTAATCTGAAGGAATAATAAAATACCTTTAAGTCTTCCTGCACAGCCCCAAATTAGTCAAAATGGCCACGAGTTGGCTGCCCTTCAGACGTCTTGCTTGCCTCCTTGGGGATCATCTTGGCAATCCTGCTTGGAGCACTCTGGCTTGCCCAGAGCTAGGTTGAGGTCATAGGATCCTGGGGCTAGAAGTTACCTTGAGACCTTGTCTAGTTGCTTTCCAGCCCCATGCCTGAAGTTGCCCAGGGCTGATGACTCTGGAAAGTGACATGTCACATGCTCCTCAGCCGGAACTACTCTGTCTTCTCAGAGATACTTCAAGAGTCTCATTTAAAGCAACTCCAAGATTTTACTTCACATGCATGAAGAGAGACATATTTTTGTTTTCATACTACAGTTGGAGAACAGCAAGAGGTTAAAGAAAACAATGGTTCTAAAAAATACACATGTTGGTTAATCGGGCTGCCAATAATTTACTAATTCTTGAGAACCACTCTAAATCATGTGATAGCTTAAAAGAAATTCAGGCTTATTACCTTCAAATATATTCACTGATTCTTCCAATACAGTTGAATGAATAAGCTTATTTGTTTTTACATAAATGATCTCTGAAGAGTTCAAAATTCTTTGTATTGTTTATACACGTACGTATGTTAGACATTTGCCTACAATCATCTTCATATTCCTGTATTTCCTTAGCCAGCCCTTTCCTTCAAATGTGAACTTCAGCCAAACTCCCTGTGACTGACCACAGTTCCTAAACTAGTATTGGTCCATGATGTACTATAATCATTTGAGTGCTCACTCTTCCCAGCCCCAGCACCTTGGAATCACCTACCTGGACCTCCCTCTCATTTACCAAGTCAGTTGCTGAGGCCACTGCTACCAGCCTGCCTGCCCCTCTGGGTCTGTTCCTTGCAGAGGCCAACACAGGGTGTACCCACTCCACGCCATCCGCTCCACATCTGCTCTTCCAGGCAGAATGGCTAGGAAGAAAGGATGTCAGCAAGATGGCCAGTCCTGCAGTCTAGGAGAATCTCATTGAGTTAAAACCACAGCTAGGACAGAAGGACCACAGTAGATAACAAATATGAGATATGTGGCCAGACCAGGTCCAAGAGAACCTTTCATTCAATAACAATTTAATTCACGTGTTTGAGATATATATTAAGTTTACCCATAATGAGGTACACAATGGATTGAAACCTCAAAGCTTCTTTACCACTCAGCATCTGCTCTCTCAAAACCACCACCACCACCACCCTCTGAAGCCAGACATATTCAGAATTATCTACTACTTGGGTCAGTGGTCTGTCATGTGCTTTCCAAAAGAGTGAACAGTTAAGAGTTATGCGTGTTTAGAATTTAAGCATTTTCCTCAAAAAAAATTCAAAATGATTCTACAACTACGTAAATTATCAATGTGATAGAAAAGGCTCCATTTTATTTGAAACAAAACAAAACAATGTGAACTACTGAGTGTCAACCACTGCGCAGGAAGATGACTGCTGGAGCTGACTTGCACGGAGAGTAGAAAAGATGACGGTAACCATCCTTACTCTCTGTCACTTGCCTGACAGCACTAGTCTGTGGACATGCTATCCCCTGGTTTCTTAATTCTGCTTCTATACTGGGAAATGAAGATTAACCGTCTGCTAGAGGAACTGCCATATTTATCCTTCTCTGTAAATCTAGGGCACAATCACCTGGACAGTGTTCAAATAACAGGTCTCCTTAGGTACTGACCCCTTGGAAACCACAGGACATGTTGTATGTTCCTTGATTGGGCAATTAGAAACAGGGCTGTGGTGGTGTTCCCTCCCTGCTGAGGAGCTGAAGTGTGAAACTCGCCCCCAGTGCTGGTTTGAGAGACCACACCACAGGACATGGGGAAGAGGTCACTCACATGTTACCAAAATGCTTCAGAAGTACACTCAGTGGAGAACAGGCCTTACCACTATCAGGATTTCTGTGCTCTAATCGAGAAATGTCTATTGCATTTAATTCTTGGTAAAGTAGAAAGAACCCAAAGGGCCACCGGGACTGGGTTCTAGAGCACAACGTCAGCATGTACAGCTGAGCGAGATACTCCTGCTCTGGACCCTTGCTTACTCAGCAGGAATATGACAAGGGGAGAGGAGCTCTGGGTCCCCAAAGTTAGAAGCCTCTCTGGTTGTCAATTTTCTATGACAGCTCCAGCTTCCAGTCTTGGAGTGAGGTAACTTCAACAAAAGATGAACAGATCAAACAAGCACTGGTCCCTCGGAGGTGATCTTGGTGTGCAAGGTCAGGGTGAAGCACCATTTGCCTCGGAGGCCAGCAGTAAGGGCTGGCGTGGGCCGGTCAGCTTTAGTCCACGGAGTATGTCCGGGACCAGGCAATGCCCACATGGGAGTAGCAGTACAGGAATCCCAGGACAGAGAGCGTCACGTACGGCCAGCCTGCAGGAGGAAGACAGAGATGGAAGAGCAGTTAGAAATGCCTGGGGTGGAACCTCCCACAGGTGCAAACTGTCCCCCTTTGGGGGACAACCCAGGAAACAACATGGGCCTCAGTTGACACATTCAGACACACACCTCCAAGAAAGTATGCTCTAACTGGAATGCCAACAAGTTGAACCCTACATTCCCACTGGGGTCAGCATAAAATGAAGAGTGCACAATCTCAAATGGAAATTATATTTAGAAATAGGACAAGCTTTTAAAGAATACATATTTAGAAAACTAAAATAGTTAATAATCAAAAAAAGAAGAAAAGTCCACAAGACCCACAGTAAATCTCAAAATATAGATTGGCCGTTATATTGAACTGAATGCCATCTGTAAGCACACAGAAGGGAGAGCCTAAATTAAACATTTGCTTTCAAAACTCAAAGCTTTTAGTGGTTCCTTCTATAAGTACTTGTCTTAGAATATCTGATGTTCTTTTCTTTCCTCTTCTCCTCCTCCTTCCCTCCTCCTTTTCAATTAACCACCCTTTCTGCTGAGTACTTCTTACTTAATTATCTCCATGCCTTCTACATGTTTAACTTACTCAAATATTCCTTGGGAACTCTGGAGATCCAGAGGTGCTGTGGAAGGTACGAGATGCCAAAACAGGTGACCCCACTCCAGCTCAGGAAAGAGATCCACACACTACTGGGATTTACGAGCCATATACTGTGTGCTAGGTAATGATGTATACAGAGCACATTTCAACTGGGCTGTGTGGGGTAAGCAAGAGTTTGACAGATGGAAAGGGACAGAGATAAGCTGCCAGAGAGACTACCAGCAGTGTATCACAGGCCACCCCAGGAACAGGGATCACAGGACTGTGGTTCCTGCACAGGGAGGGGGAGGCAGGGTAAGGACAGAAGTAAAGAGGCTGCAGGGGGGAGTCCCGGATGGTCCTGCTACTCTGCACGGACTCCTACCATGTCAAAAGTCGGCTATTAAGTTCAATTAGTACAGCATAGTGGTTAAATGTGCAGACTATGAAATGAAATTAGACATCAGTTCTAATCTTGGCTCTGCTACTTGCCACCTATGTGACCTTGAGCAACCTAATAAATCTCAAATGTAAAACTAAAAGGATAGAGCAACTTTATTAAGAGTCTTTAGAAGATGCCATGGACTGTGTCCCCCACCCCCACCCCTCCAATTCATATGTTGAAGCCATAACCCCCAGTGTGTATTTGGAGGTGGGGCTTTGGGGAGGTAACTGGGTTGAGGTCAGATCATGAGGGTGGGGCCATCATGATGGGATTAGTGCCCTGATAAGAAGAGACACTCTCTGCACAGTGAGAAGGTAGCCAACTAGAAGTCAAGAAGATGATCTTCTCCAGGAACCAAATCAGCTGGCACCTTGATCTTGGACTTCTCCAGTCTCTGGAACTATGAGAAATAAAGCCTCTTGTTTAAGCTACCCAGTCCCTGGATTTTGTTATGGTGGCCCAAGTTGACTAACACATAAGGAAGAAATGTGTGAAATGATGTAAAGGCCTGCATGGTGCACTATGGTGGGCACTAAGGAGAGGAAGCAGTAATGCTGGAGAGAGGGCACAGAAGTCTTTCTCCACCAAGAGTAGAGTGACAACAGGGAAGTCTAGCCCTTGTCCTCCTCTGAACTCGTTTTCAACCTGCTTCTTAGACTAGCTTGGCACAAGAATTCTCCTAGGCCCTCAAGGAAAGAAAAGTGAGGGGAGCAGAGGATTCGTAAGAGCCTGGCTCTACGACCAGCACTACAGCACCACCTCCTGTCTGCTACTCAGCCAGTGAGTGTGTTTGTTTCCTGTGGCTGCTGGAACATGTGACCACAAACTTGGCTTCAAACAACAGAAACTCATTCTCTAATACTTCTAGATGCTGAAAGTCTGAAATCAAGATGTTGTAGGCCACCTCTCTCTAAAGGTTCTAAGGGACACTGCTCCCTTACCTCTTCCAGCTTCCAGTGACCCCAGACATTCCTCGGCTTTTGGCAACATACCTTCAATCTCTGTCTCTGTCTTCATATGTCCTTCTCCCCTATGTACCTCTGTGTCCTCTCTTCTTATAAGGAAGCCAGTCATTGGGTTTCGGGCCCACTCTAAATCCAGGAGGATTTCTTCTCAAGACACTCAACTAGTTATGTCAGCAAAACACCTATTTCCAAATGAAGTCACATTCTGAGGGTCCAGATGGACATGAATTTGGGGGGCACTATTCAGCCCAGTAGAGCCAGGTATGTTTTCAAACTTCAAAATAGACCCATCCTGCCATGAGGCCCTCTGATCTCCCACCTCTGTGGCCCAGACACAGATGCCAGGGGTCCTGTCGACATCTGCTCCTCAGTGGGCTTGGGGAGCAGAAATGAGGGAGGGAGCCTCAGGCCCAGGAAGCAGCCCCAGACTTCAGCTGTGTTTAGGGTGACACACTGGCAGGTGTTTGGTAAACACAGAACCCAGAGGCTGGTTATGGAGGTGGGAGAATGGGGATGTTTTACTTACACAAAGCTGAGCTTAGGACACTGGACAGCTGTGCTTGGCCCCATGGCTGTGAAGGCTCATCCCTGTGAAACCTTCTGGCCAGCACACAGAATCATAAGGAAGACCAGCCCGAACACTGCCCAGAAGTGAGGTATACACGTGTTCAGTATGGACCACAGCCGAGCCTTGAAAATCCCCTCTAGCATTAACTGTATACCATTTGCAGAGGCAAACAGATGGCAGTTAGGAGACTTGTAATCCTGACTCTACTACACAGACCCTAGGAGGGTTTCCGTTTCTCCATCTACACAATGAGAAGTCAAAAATAAACAGAAGCACATGAAATAAAATAAGATCACAGATTTAATAGTGCTTTTAAAAAGTGTTTCTATGGAGCCTACTTGGGATTCTCTCTCTCCCCCTCGTCTGCCTGCACTCTCTCTCTCAAAATAAATACACATTAAAAAAATAAAACATAAAAAAAAATAAGTGTTTCTAGGGGCACCTAGGTGGCTCGGTTAAATATCAGACTGCTGATTTTAGCTCACGTCATGTTTCACAGTTTGTGGGATCAAGCCCCACATCAGGATCTGTGCTGACAGCGTGGAGCCTGCTTGGGATTCTCTCTCTCCCTCTCTCTTTGCTCCTCCCCTGATCACACATGCTCGCTCATGTGCTCTCTCTCAAAATAATAAACATTAAAAAAAAATAAAAAGAATTTCAAAAATGCAGAGAATTACTATAGGACCCCCTGAGAAGTCTGAGAAGTAAAGTGTATGAAGCTGTTATGCACACATAGCTTGCTGGCCTTTTAACATGAGTGTTCCTACAGATAGTAGCCCCAGTGTACACTGGATGGCGGCCAAGGACCTCTTACCTTTTCCTGATCTCAGGAATAAGATATGTGACGGTAAGGAGAAGACAGATTCCACAAGTCACCCTTCCACAGTATTCAGCCAGCATTTCATGAGCATCTGGTGCATTCCTGGCCCTCTCCTAGACATCAGACATCAACGTCACGCTCTGCACGGTGCCTATAGGCACAGGGTCTTTGACTGTGGCAGCTGCTAAGCCAGTACTGATGTGATCCAAGTGTTGGGGGCTGCTTGGGGCAGAGCCTCCTCTTTATCAGCGCTCAGATGATCACAGAATAAGAAACTGGGATGGGCTGGCATTATGGCAATGTTCAAAGGTTGCTATGATGCAGTTATCCAGGCTTGTCATCCATTAACAAAAAAGATGGCGTCTACAAGGGTTCTGTTCTGCCAAATGAACACAGATCTCATCCTGCAGCCCTCACTCTCCCTGGCCTTTCCCCACTCTGTGTTCTCCTTCCAGGCTCTCCCTTCTCACCAGGATTACCAAGCCAAAGTGTCTGGTCAACTCCTTTATCCCCACATCCCCAACCCTGTGCATGTATACAAAGACTTACAGACATACATACACGCACACAGACACACACACAAGCACACACACACACTATTAATGTGGCTCATAAAGCCTGATGGGAAGTATGATATTGGTCAAAGGAAAAGATCCTTTTTTAAACATAATTTTAAATGTTTTATTTATTTTTGAGAGCAAGAGAAATGGGGCACAAGTGGGGACGGGGGGGGGGGGGGGGGGGGGGTTGCAGAGAGAGAGGGAGACACAGAATCTGAAACAGACTCCAGGCTCTGAGTTGTCAGCAAAGAGCCTGATGTGAGGCTCAAATTCACAGTCCGTAAGATCATGACCTGAGCTGAAGTCGGACACTTAACCAACTGAGCCACTCAGGCACCTCGGGAAAGGATCCTTCTTAAGACAGCACTTTAAGGCCAAAGCCCCCTGAACAATCAGCATATTTATGGCTAAGCTTCCAGAATCAATGATGTGTCCCAGTGGGTTTTTGATATTTGGACTTGTTAAGATCTGAACAGCTGAATAGTTCTAACAGATGACTACTAGGCAGCACTGGAGATATTACAAACAGGATGCCAACAAGTCAGGTAACAGTTGCAAAAGATTGGGTAATACAGTTAAATAGGGCAGATTACTTGACAGATCATGCATATAAGTAGGATATATAGCAAAACAGATTCAATGAAGAAGATCAATGTAGGTGGTATAATAGAGTTAATAGGATGTAGGTGGTTGCATCATGATATTGTTAATAGGACATTGGTGAGTTGTAGAAGAACTACAGCTAATGAGAATAAGTAGGATACAGGGAAATGTCTATAGCTAAAAGGAAGCAAGCAGTGTAATTTTACTTGAGGTTATTATGGCTGAGCAATTTTCTGAGCAATTACATCAGTCTGAAAAGACTGGAAGGGCCGAAGCTCAGAATAGTGAAGGAAAAGACCATCATCATGTAGGGCTGTGAGAAGTCAAAGAATATATCAATTTGGTTTTCTGGAAAGTGGTGGGATAATCAGAACAAGAAGCAAGTCTAATGAACACCTTTGTTTAAAAGGTAACGTTGTAAAATGATTGCAGCCACTGTGGAAAACAGCAGGG